ATAAACCACGTTGGAGAGGAGCGTTTTGCTGCCAATTCTAAAACCGCTTTCTCCACATGCGGTTTAATTGAAAACCGTCTCCCCCTGTGGCGGTTCTCAATTAATGGTGATAGTTTTGGAAATTTTGAGGGATGGGTGGTATTTTTGTAATTTTTTTTTAAAGGTGGTATTTCTGGAAAAAAATCCCCTAATGGCTAAATGTGTTGGCTCAGAGGCATGAGAGCGCATGCCTTGGTTCGACGCACGCCATTGTTGATATTTTTTAGTTGATTTTGATTTTAGAAGGGGAAGGTGGCAGGAGGGTTTAATTTAAACGAAATAGAATTAGATTAGGAAATTTTGTGATTGGTGCTCCTGAGTTGGGATTGGGGTTTGGCGTTTGTGGGTGATTTGGATATGAATTTATGACTTTGAGATTTGGGGGATGATGGTTGTGTTCATCTCAATATGGTGTTTGAGGTTTATTTGGTGTGATTTTGTGGTGAATGAATGGTTTGGGAGCTTAGAGGGTTGGGATTATTTGGTGAATATGTTTTTATTTCATTCGGATGATGATGAGATTTTTATCTATGCGCTAGAAAATAAAGGAATGGTAGATGCTAAATAGCATCGAAAGTGGTTTGGAAAGTATCACGAGTAGATGATAAGTAACTAGCAATAAATATAATATTTAAAAATATAAGCTTAACGTATAAGTAGATAATTATAGGCTAATATGATTAATAATACTAAAGCTCAGGGCTACTTTTGCGGGACGACTGAGTGGAACAGATCAGGGTGTGGAATGGGAGGGAGTAGCAATGGCCAGATTCCAAACTAGCAAGGTGTTGCAGAGCATTAGGCCACGAGGGGAGGTAGTAACATGGTCAAAGTTGATTTGGAAAGAAGGTAAACCAAAGAACTCATTACAAACATGGCTTATTTTGTTGGGGAGTATCACAACTTTGGACAAAGTCCAGAGGTGGAATGCTGAGGTGAATACTTGCTGTCCACTGTGCAGATTGGAGGCAGAATCTAGAGACCATATATTTTTCCAATGTATGTATATGCAGGAGGTATGGAGAACAGTATTCCCGGTGTCTTGGCAGGTCCCTATTGAAGCTAGATTGCAGCAAGCAGTGGTGATAGTAAACCAACAGTTGAGTAAGTGTCAGGTGGGAAGAATTCTTTGGTGTTTAGTGTTAAGTGAAGTCTGGAGGGAGAGATGTCGCAGACTCTATGGCAGGAAGCAGCTCTCAGTAGGGATTTGGTTAAGAGAATGCAGGCTGTTATGGAAGCAAAAGAACTAGGTGACCAAGGGTTTGTTGTATCACCAACTGCTCGAATCCTTTGGTATAAACCTCTCTAATATTCATTGTATAGTAGTAGTAGGCAAAAAGAACTAGCTAGATTGCAGCTGAAGGTTTTGTAATTTTATAGCTTTGTAAAGATCGTATAGATGAATAAAATACCACCCATTCATAGAAAAAATAGAGTAAATCTGCTTAAAATAAGCAAATAAAGGAACTAGAAATAAAATAAAGCTGGATGGAAAAGCTGACAAAGTAAATGAGATTTGATAAATCTGGATTGATAAGTTGTGATTTCTTTTTTAAAAAGTTTGGTCATGTTGTAGTTTGATTGGAGTTGATTGATTTTTTTCCTTAGAAACCCTTGCAGGATTTAGATTATTATGTGGCAATAATAATAATGGTGGTGGTAATGAATATAATATAGAGTTACCTTGACAAGAAGAGTAAAGTAATAACCGGGAAGAAAAGCAATAGAGGAAGCCATGTCCATGTTATTAAGAGTGGATAAATGATTAACCTTGATTTAAAGACTTTCTTGTGCTTTTGTTGGCTTGGTAACCTTCTGCTTCTATTACAGCGAAAATGAGCTATTACAACGAAATGGAAAAGGAAGGAAAGTGCTTGTCTCTCTCTATTTTTCCAGCGTTTACCTTCCCTCTCACCTTACTGGAAAAAAAGAAATTCTAAACTGACTAAGAAGAGAAAGAAATGAAAGTGAAAGTGTTTCCCTTCTGAAAAGTTGTCCCCCAATGATGAGAATTGGGCCTTCTTTTATAGAAAAAATGAGGCGGTGGTGTCTGTGTTCGGTCGACCCATTCTGCTTCGACCGGTCTGTTGGTTGGGTTGCTTCTGAGCTGGCCGGCCGCTCTTGACCATGTGGGCTTGTCTAGGAGTTGGGCTCATTGAGACCTGGCCCGAGTTGGGTTCCTTCATATTGGGCCTGGAGTTTGGACTAACTGTTCTTTCTTCTTTGCTTTGCAGGTCCAAGGCTGATTTGCTTTAAAGGAGATGGTGGGTCAAGCTTGAAACTTACTGAACACTAGTAGTTCTCATGTAGTAATTATGATTTGTAATTGTGATTGTAATTTATGTAGTAATTATGATTTGTAATTCTGATTGTATTAATTGTCAATTAGTAATAATTTTAATAATACGTGCTTCTTTATTATTATTTGTGTTGTGCCAAAAGCGGAGACAGGAAGTCAATTGATCCTATTGGATCCACTCGAATCAAATTCAAATATATTGTAGAATCATTTGTATTATAGATTCGCGATGGCCAATCTAATTATCTTATGATATTTCATGTTTTAATTTCAAAAATTCTAGTAGAGTAATTGGCCCCAGGAAAACTTTCCTCGTGATGAACTTCTTTGGTTGTATCTGATAGATGTGGTGGCAATTTTGTACAATTTTCCATCACATTCTTTTTTATATAAGGGTGAAATAATATTATTAACGGGAAAAAAGAAGATTAAAAGTATGAAAACACAACCAGCAAAAACTACTGCAAAAAACCACCTCTAAGCGCGCCAACAACAGGTAGCAAACGAAACGCAGCTGAAAACATGAAGGTGCTCACAAACACCTGAACACGAAGCTCCCAATCAAGTTACAACCAAGATAGCAGATGTCCACGAAACTCTCCCCTTAGAGAAGTTGATAGCATCAGAAACTCGGAAGTTAGGCAAATCAACCGCAACATCGACCCTCTAAAAATCTTTAACAAGCAGCCTTTCCTTAATGCACACATTGTGCCAGAGAGAGACACTAGATCCACCACCCGCTTCAACATACGCAAATCTCCAAAAACATATTGTTTGTGTTAATAATTTGCGCCCAAAGGCTAGTGCTGATAGCACCCGATCGCTTCCCCAACATTCATTCCGAAGAAGCATTAGGAAACTTGATCCAGATAAGATCCCTCCACCAATCATCCTGCTCATGAACGAAACGTCACCACCATTTACTCAAATCCGAATCACCACATTCATCCAACGATTATGAGCGTTTTGGCCTGATTCCACGACACACAAGTTCTACGAGCACGTGTTCACAAGAGGCTCCGAGCATCTACTACAAACTAGCTTGAGTATCAAAATGTAGTCAAGGAGTAACCTAGGAAAGTCCTACAAACAAAATGGCTCATTATTGTGTTTTGTTTAGCCTAGTAAGCTAGGCTTAGACCATATCATCTCATCTATGTTTCTTTTTCTGACCTAATAAACCATGTTAAATCGTTATTCACTCACTTTCTTCTTCGAATTTGGTTGGGTGGTGGCATTTGAGTTGTGAGTTAACTAAAAAATGCAATTCTCCGACTAGCCATTAGGTAAATTAATTAACATTTATAACAAACTACTCGCAAATTAGGAAGATTGTATCAATGCACCTCCCACTTTATCTCATTTGGATCCGTCTAATACTCGTAAGAAATCTTCATTATTATGTAAACCAAATGTGCAGAGAAAATTGTTGTTTTATAAAATTTTGATACTATTAATGGTTTACAATTTGCATCTCATTATTTAGTGAACATTACACAACACAGTAACCAATAATAATAGTCCAAAAATATTTATTGTTTTCCCTTTTTAAAAGTCGATGATCATTGTGTATTGGGGTTAGAAAATATAATGACTATCAATAGTATAAACAATACACAACTGTTTGCCATGCGAAAATGGGGTGCAGCAGTGCAGGTCATTTGGATAATCCGCAAAACACCCACCTAAATAAACTAGTAGGAATTTTTCGATCCACAATCTATCCATATCAATCACTAAACCCACTGCGTTTTGAGTTATTTACAGGTGAATCGATGTCAAACTACATATTAGCCATCCACGTGCCCACCATAAATTATAAATATAACAATTTATCAAATTAATAAAGAACCACATGTGAATTAGATATACTATGTATTAAAAGTTCAAAACTATGCAAGCAATAGTAATTATTTTCATTAATAAACATTATAAAAATAAAAAAATTATAAGTGATATCGATGTAAAGATTTAAACCATAGTAAATGGATTCAGAACTCTATTTTATTGTGCTTCATATAAACAATAAAAAAGTATTATAAGCTTCAGTATAAAAACACTATTTAGATTCTACCAAATATGTATAAATCAAAAGTAGGTACAAATACAAAAAATCACCTAAAATTGGAAAGTAGATCACTTGCTCAAATGATAGGGTCCAAACTAGTTTATTCTTTGTTCTTCCTTCTTTTCTTTCTTTTTGTTTTGGAAATGAGAGGACACAAGACATGAATGCATTATTACTGGAACATTCTTGTCGGAAGAAGGAGCAAGCTGGCATTGGATCTTTTTACACTTTGATCCGTCGAAATGCAGAAAGCTAAGATCATTCTATACTCCCCTCAATTTGAAATCATGAAGAGAATTTTTTCAGATCTTTTACATGGATGAGGGAAATCCGAAAGCTCAAATCTTCTTCTCTCCCTTTGCTAGGCTTATGCAATTAGGATAAAAAAAAGAAAAAAAGCGTCGTTTTGATGATTTTCTGAATTGGGTATTGGGGATTTCAGCTTAATTCAAGGAGCCCTATTCATCATTATGAATTTCATCCACATATTTGCGACCATGGCAGAAATTTTGGGGAAATGTTTGTTGTAGTGCATAAGGCAGGGCAAGCTGTTGTTGTAGACTTGTGAGTTGGGAGAGGGAGATATTGTTTGCAATGGGGAGGTTCCTCAGTGGATTTCTGTTGCCTATGTTGCTTCTATCAGGTTAGCCACTGGAAAGTGGAAACCTCGATTTCTTAACTATTTTCTCAGAAAGGCTCTTTTCTTTCATGATTAGTAGTAAGGAGAAAATCAAACTGATGTGCTTCTTCTCTTGCCAAAATGCCTTTATCCAGCTGCATTGCTTAATTGGAGTTTGATTTCTATGGTGGATTTGTTAGGTTTTATCTTCATTCAATATGCTGCACCAAAAATCGGTAAGTGTCAACCCACAATGATTCTATTGCCTATTCACACTTCAGATGTTACTCACTTCAACTACTCTACCTAATCTTTGTAATATTAACTCATTTTTTTTTATCTTTTGGAGTCTACAGGTATGCGATCAAGAAGACGATTGTTGATCTCATGGTACACCCTTTTGTTTTCCTCTGTGGCTGTTGTTTCACTTGCCATTTTTCATATTGTCTGGGCTATCAAGGGGAATCAGTGGAGTACTGCAGATGCACAGTGGGCTAAGTTAATCGGTTTTCTAAGGTCGGGGTCTGATTTTGGGACATGTTTTTATTCTAGATATTGAAAATATTGTAAGGTATAATTGTTAACAGAAATATGAAATGTCTTGCAGTGTTCATTCTCAAAGACTACCATATGTGATTTATTTCACAACCGTCCAAGTCCTAGTAGTAGTAATTGTCGTGGTTGAAATCTATGGGACTAGATGTTCTCCAGACTTATCGCAAGATTCATTTGTTGGTCATGGCTATTCTTTTATTCTACGCATAGGTTTGTTGTTTTTGTTCATCTCATACTCCATTGCTACTTAGTAATAAAGTCATTTTGGAATCAACAATGCCGAAAGAAACTAACACTTTGGCTCTGTCTACTTATTTTTTTGAATGGAAGGTTCTCATCTTAGAGTATTGTGCTGCTTACTACTACCTTTCGTACAACTGATTGTTGGCATAAGCCACCCGTCTTGGGCTTCATTTCCATTTTTCATATTCAGCAGCATTGGACTAGTTAACTGGTCTCTAACAAGCAACTTTCTTGGTCTATTTAGGTAATAAATTTCTCTAATTTAGATTTTACAGTAGAGTCATATTTAAAATCCTACATATGATTCATGCTAACTCATATTGATTGGAGGTGGTGGAGCTATCTTTTATTCTATGCAGGGCTGAACATTGTCCTTCTCTACATTTACCAACTTCCAATTCAGTTTCCATGGATGGCCTCTGTCGGTGACTTTATAGGTCTCTATAAAGTATCTTCACATTCAGAGTGGTCTGAAATATGCTCTGGTTATTCTCTCCTTCTCTTCTACACAATGGTGAGTCGTTGGGGTTTTCCAACCAAATCAATATTAAATAACCTCTTATCAAACTTTTTTTTCACTTGCTGTAATAGCTATTAAGCATTTTTCTACTTTTACAGCTTTCCTGGATTAGATGTGACCTTGCAGAAATGGACTTTATTATGTCCGGAAGAGATAATAGCTTGACGGTCCAACTTCTTACTCCAAAACATGCATTTCTCATTCGACAATTTCGGTGAGTTCTATTGATGGACTATGTGAAGTTTGAATTTCTTTTTGAGATCACATGTCACTACATTTTTCTGGTTTTCTGCAGATCGGGTGTAAGGCACACCAACTTTTTGTTGACAGGAGCAGTTTTCCGGACTTTCTGTGTCAACTTCTTCACTTATGGTTTCCCTGTAGGGCTCTTTCACTGCCTTTACAATCTTATATTTTCTTTCATCATTTTTTCCAACTTAGTTACATTTTTACTATTCCATCTTGACAGATTTCCTTGCTTGCATTGTCATTCTGGAGTTTCCATTTTGCCAGTTTATGTGCATTTGCACTCCTGGCTTATGTTGGCTATGTGCTTTATGCCATTCCTTCGGTCTTTCAATTGCATCGGCTAAACGGCTTGCTTCTTGTATTCATTCTATTATGGGCTGCTAGCACCTATGTCTTCAACTTGACATTTTTGGTCCTCAACAAGCACATGTGGAAGGTCGGTTTTTTTATGAAGATTATGCCTCTATTCATTATTATGATGTATTTACTTTATCAATACCCTTTTTTGTTGCAGGACATGGATATTTGGGAAACTATCGGTTTATGGCATTATCCTATCCCTGGATTTTATCTATTTGCACAATTTTGTCTTGGCATCCTTGTTGCTTTAGGAAATTTAGTGAACAACTCAGTCTTTCAATACTTGTCTGATTTGGGTGTACAATATTCTAAGCAAGATGCCGATGTAGAAGGTAAGAATGAAAAAATAGCCTTCCATTTAGACTTGTTTCATGTATTTGGGGAAAAATTTGCTTGGAGGTTCGATGATTGTGAATTATGATTTTCACTTTGAACTTATGTTTCAGATAGAGATGAGACTAAAGTGCTAACTATAGCCACAGTGGCATGGTTACTACGTAAAACATCTCGAGCTATAGTCTTAATACTAATATTTCTTATTGCTCTAAGACCAGGTCTCATCCATGCCATTTATAGTAAGTTCTCTTCTCTATTTGTTATGTTTTTCCATATGTCACACTATTGGGCTTACTTTCATGATGCGGTTTTGACATTCTTGTTTCTTGTTTCATGGACCAGTGATTTTCTTCATGATATATCTTTTGAGCCATACAATAAGTAGAAAGATGCGGCAACTTCTAATTCTTCTATGTGAAGCTCATTTTGCATTAACTTACTTTCTTCAGCTTAATCTCATCTCAAATGCCTTGAAACAAAAGGATACATTAGCTACAGATCTTCTCAGAGAACTAGGTAGTGCACACTTTGCTCATATCTATATAATGCTACTCATATATTATAATGTAAGTAAATATGACTATGGTGTATTTTTTGAAGGTTTTCTTAGCAACTCTGATTCTAGGGATTTCCTAAAGATAGCAGCACTTGCATGCTTTTGTGCTCTTCACAATCATGGCTTCGAAGTTCTATCAGCATTTTCGGCTATCGTACAACATACTCCTTGTCCTCCAATTGGCTTTAGTATCTTAAGAGCTGGTTTGGTTAAGTCTATTCTCTTATACGTATATACATCGAGGTCGAAACAGAGCAGCGATAACAACTCTTCTCATGGTATTACTCATTAAAGGTTGAATTTACTCAATGATACCGTTATTTTACGAGTTGAAATGGTAATATACTTGGATGAACTAACCTCAAGTTTCTTTGGCTTGGCTCTGCAGAAAAAATGATTGCTTCATATCTAACAGCTATAGGACAAAACTTCCGATCACTGTATCGTTCATGTGGGACCTATATTGCTCTTCTAACAATTCTCATTGCCGTCTACCGAGTCAAACCAAACCACACTTCATTTGGTTACCTTTTCTTCCTTATGGTATGGATGGTTTCAAGACAACTCTTAGGAAAGACCACAAGAAAGATGTGGTTACCTCTGAAAGTATATGCCATTTTTGTGTTCATCCTACTTTACACCTTGAGCGTATTTTTCAGCTTTCGAAAATGGTTATCACAAAGAGTCGACCTCTCTTCAGTTTTTGGCTATGATCCTAAAGCCTCCATGGTGGAAAATATATGGGAATCCCTTGCTGTGCTAGTGGTGATGCAGTTGTATAGTTATGAAAGGCGACAAATCAACAAGCAAGGGTATACCAATGTTGATGAAGAAACAAGTAGACAACCTTCTTTTTCATTGGTACAACGTTTACTCATTTGGCATGGGGAGAAAATACTAAACCTCTCTTTGTTCTATGCATCTCTATCACCGATAAGCGGATTTGGGTTTTTGTATCTTGTTGGAATGGTGGCTTGTTCAACTTTACCAAAGTCGTCTTGGCTTCCCTCAAAGCTATTTCTTGCATACTCCGGGTTTGTTTTGATGGTCGAGTATCTTTTCCAGCTATGGGGGCAACAGGTAAACATGTTCCCTGGACAAAGTAATTATCCTCTTTCATTGTTTCTTGGGCTGCAAGTTTACATGCCTTGTTTCACAAGTTTGGAGTCAGGGATGAGAGGGAAAGTTTTGGTTATTGTATCATGCTTACTTAGGTACAATGTGTTCCATTGGTTGAGAAAATATCCATGCAAGTTTGGGAAGATGGGAAAATGGGATGAGTCTTGTCCATTGCTTTACTCATCCGAGGAGTATTATAAGACGAGATCAAGTCCAGTTAGTAGGGATAATGGACTTTCAAAGTCGTTGTTGGAGAAGCAAAATGAAGTGGGAATTCAATCATGGGCATCTTTCATTATTGGGCTTTCTGATGCTGAAAATGAAGGGAGCAATATTAACGGAGAAGATTTCAATAATATAAGTGGGAGTTCAAAAGAAAGACATAAATGGACTCGAAAGCAGATTCATATGTTGAGACATGAGAGGCTCAGAATGCAGATAAGGACTCTAAAGGTGTATTTGAAGTTTTGGGTAGAGAACATCTTTAATCTGTTTGGCCTTGAGATCAATATGATAGCATTGCTTATTGCAAGCTTTGCAGTTCTTAATACGATATCTTTGCTCTACGTTGCATCATTGGCTGCTTTCATTCTCTTGCCTTGTCATTTGACAAGGAAACTTTGGCCTGTATTTGTGTTCCTATTTGGATCTGTGATCACTCTAGAGTACTTAGCCATTTGGTTTTTCCGATTTGGGGAGCAATTTAATCCGGGAATTAGTCGAAAAGTTCCTTGCAATGACTGTTGGGAAAGCTCCGACCTGTTTTTTGATCACTGCAAAAAGTGTTGGTCAGGTATGTTTCTCTTAATGTTGAGTAAATGAGATCACTTCAGAATTTTTTTGGGACATGTCATCTTAATGTTGAGCCTAGTTTCTCTATGCAGGAATTATAGTTGACGACCCATGCATTCTAATAAGCTACTATGTAGTCTTCTTACTGGCATGCTTCAAATTTCGTGCTGACCGTTTGTCCAGCCTGGCAGTATCTGAGAGCTATCAACAAATGATATGCCAGTACAAGAGTTCTTCACTCAACGACCTCTCCTTCGAAACAAAATACCTATGGACATTCTTTGATTATCTTCGCCTATACAGCTACTGCCACTTGTTGGACCTCGTCCTCGCCTTAATCCTCATCACTGGGACCTTGGAATTTGATGTCCTCCACCTTGGATACCTTGGTTTTGCCTTAGTATTCTTCAGAATGAGACTTGAAATGCTTAAGAAAAAGAACAAGATATTCAAGTTCCTGAGAATGTACAACTTCGCCATAATTGTCCTCTCTCTTGCTTACCAATCGCCTTATGTGGGAAACTTCTGTGATGGAAAATGTGGGCTCATAGCCTACATAAGCAATGTGGTGGGGTTCTACAAGTACGATTATGGGTTTCGTATCACTTCGAGATCAGCTTTAGTCGAGATCATTATCTACATGCTAGTGTCCTTACAATCGTACATGTTCTCAGCTCCCGAGTTTGACTACGTGGCAAAGTACATCGAAGCTGAACAGATCGGCGCAAAAATTGAGGAGCAAGAAAAGCGTGCTGCTTGGAAAACTGAGCAATTGCAGCAAATACGTAAAGCTGAAGAACAGAAGCGCCTACGTAATCTTCAAGTCGAGAAGATGAAATCTGAGATGCTCAACCTTCAAATTCAACTCCAACAAGGAGACACTTTCATTAGGACGGC